AATAGTTTTAGCATGAAACCTAAAGGGTTAAACTTTTAACTTTAAGGGGTTAAAAATTTTAATTTATGCTGTGAAAGGAAACAAATAAAATAATGCACATGCAACATAATGTGAATGATATAGGAAACTATTGGGGGTTCTTAAACAGTTAAGTAATGGTTTGTAAACATAAGATTATTTATTTTCAGCTGTTACAATCGCCCCTTTACTTATTGTTACAAACGTCCCCATGACCCCATTTCAGCTTCATTTGTTAAAAACAATGCTAGTTCATTAACAAAACTAATTTTTTTTATTGAAATGTTAATTAAGGTGTTCACTTACATATTCGGTTAATAATTTTTATTTGTTTAAATAAAATTACTTTGTTACAATATAATATTCTAATAACAAAAAAAGCACTTACGTAGCGTGAAAATATCTTTTGTGATGTAACTCTTTCAAAAGTACATAATAATGGTNTAGCTCTAGAAATATGATTTTTAAAACTAAAGCGTATTGTTATAACTACCACTATTTTTAATTTTTACTTTTAGTAAAACTGTTAATAAAACAGGCCACTTGTCCTTAGTATCTATCATGCGCATACTACAATATATTTGTTTAATTAATAATAGCAGTTAAACTTCTTCTAAGATACAACAAGCTGACTTTATTTTTGTTAAGCCTAGCAAAAAATATTTTTAAAAAAGATTTTTTAATCTTTTAAAGAATGGCATTTAGGTACCTTAAATTTTTTTAAACTAAGTACTATAGGGTATTATTTTCCAGTCAAATTGATTAGAAAAAATAACTCTGCAACGGGAAAAAAAACTTTAGAGCAGAAGTGGAAAATTACAGAGGTATTAACTATATATATATTAAAAAAATAATTTCTCTGTAAGAAAAAAGCTCAAGTATTTCCACTGCACCGAAGTAGTACATACTATCCAAGATTCAACGTACTCCCGTATGCTATTTTTGATTCAATTTCTGACAAAGATTATGTAAATTATTATACGAAAGAAAGCTTTTACTGTACTCCCAGCATATTATTTGAATTTCAAACCAATGCAATTTTATGTCAAATTAGCATTCGATTAAATAATATTTTTTACAGAATCAAAATTATTCCCAAAGTTCTTCGAGATGTATCCAAATATTGCACAAAAGTCACCGTCTTGGGTACAGAAATCGATTACCCAATAGGCTTCTCTCCTGTCGGTCTTCTAAAGTTAGCTCATCCCGAAGGTGATTTGGCACTGGTAGCAGGTAATAAAATCCTATAATATGAAAATTTCTACTCCAAGCATTTGTTTCATCTTTAAACTTTAGTTAAAAGCTACAATATTCAAAATTAGAGCAGCGATGAGTCAGGGGATAGAGCGTCCGCCTTTCAATGAGGCGAACCGAGTTCGAATCCCAGTCGATACGAATTCCGCATCCGGGACCACAGTGCTGACGTGAAAATATCCTCAGTGATAGATGGATCGTGGGTTAGAATCCCCTTGTCGCCAGGCTAACCATGGGAGGTTCTCGTGGTCTTCCTCTCCATGTAGCGCAATTGCGGGTTAGTTCCATCTAAAAGTCCTCCGCGAAGGTAAAATTTCACCCAATACTCGATCGAGGAGTTCCCTTGTCTTCTGGATTGGGTTCAAAATGACAAGGCTACGGAGTTGAACATTAGTAGTCGTAAGCCCATAAAATTGGGTCGGCTGTTCAACGACGGTTCTATGATAAAATATTCAAAATTACTAAATATTATCAACAAAAAAAACTCGAGTTGTTGCAAAAAGGTTTAAATTTCTATGAAATTTTAAGTAAATTTTCCTATCTAAGTTTACACACGTTCTCTCTAAACTAATTCTCGTTTGGCATGAATTTAAAAATAAATATTTAGTGGTGTATAAATCATTATTGAAAAAATATAAACTATAAAATTTTCAGTGAATCCAGCTGCTGAAAATGAAATTACTCCAGTCAAATTTCATTAACTATATCCGGGCAAGCACTTTTAATTAAATACATCCATTTAATTTAAAAATACTATTAACAAATATAATGTTTTTAAAATAAAATAAGCTTTTTTTAAACTAAAACTAAGTACAATATTATCTATTTCACTTTTGCGTTAACATAAAGTTTTAATTGCCAGGTCTAAAGAACTGGAACACTATCCTGATAATGAGTAGCTATGCCACGAATACCATTGAAGATGTTGCTGAAAGAGCAAAAGGATCTTCTCTGCAACTATGGATGCAGACTTACTTCTTTAAGAATTTCACCACTACAATGGACATTATAAACCGAGCTGAAAAGAATGGTTTCAAAGCATTAGTTGTCAGTGCGGATACAAATGTAAATCCTACAGAAACATGTGGTGCTAGGAGTGGTTTGGTGCTTCCACCGGATGTCGAGTATTCAAAGAACTTTTTAATACATTTATAGATTAATTTATATGCAGTGCACAAAAATTATTTGATTATCAAAGAATCAAAAAAACACTCTGAATAACTTTCACACTTATGAATAAGTTTCCTGAAATTAGGATTGATTTAAATTTAATGGTGTGAAGAAAATATCTTAAATATTCTAAATAATTAGTTCAAACGATATTTTAAAAGTAAAGACAAGATACAAAAACGTATTTTCACTAGATCTACAAGCCGCTTTTTCTAGGATTACGGAATTTCGATTTTCGAAGTATGGGGCTGGGAGTAGTTTGAAAATGATAGTCCTAAGAATTAAGTCAATAAAATGGTTTTAAAAAAAAATTCAGACCCGTATTGGTAATCTGCTTTTTGCATGTTCTTCCTTTTCTCTGTGACGATTTATTATGCCAATACAAAAAATATTTGTATTAAATAATAATATTTAAAGATTATTCAATATAAAACATACACTCAATTGTACTTCGCTTCACGGTCTCTTGGATGAGATCAAAGTGCACATATAATTATAAGAAGATAATAATACACCATTAGTCATCTTTTCTTTAGAAAATAATTAAACATATCTCAGACTAGATTTCTAAACTCCTCTGTTTCAGATCCCGAACATATTTGAAACTGTGATGGTACATAAAGAATCCACATAGGAGCACAGTAGTTAATAACAATACATCGAGTAACAACATTAATTTTGATAAAGTAATGATTTCCCTCAGAGGCTTGTTGTGGGTCAAAGGGATTATGGCGATGATGGCAGTATGGCCAACATTGCGCACCGGCAGCCTTTTCTTCCCATAAACGCTAGTATCTATCGTTTTGAAGCTAGGTGGGCATCAACCGCTCTCCAGAGATTTAACCACAGTTCTTAACAGTGACACTGATTTTTGACAGTTCCTAACAGTGACACTTTTGATCACTGAGCCATCGCAGTTAAAAAAAATTTATTAAACGTTTGACGATTCAGCATACCATCTTTGCTCAAGCCATCAATTTTATTTTTCCTTGTATTGCTCTAATTTTAGCATTTGTACTGTACCAAAGCAAGGACCCGCAGTGGACTGATCGTTAAGACACGGTTCCCAGCAGATCACCACAGTCAAGCATCAGTGGCTGCAGTCAGTGTGCGGGTGGGTGACCACTTGGATAAGTCTGCGTAGGGACAGAGGGTGCGCGGTATTGGTCCTCGTTAAACTGTTCTACCGTAAATTGCTCGCCTTCGCGTCGGTGCCATACCCTCTGCAGAGGATCAAAATTGTGATGGCATGTCTTCGGATCATCTTCAGGGATGTTTCCCAGACCGCGGCCAATAGCTTATTGTGCAGCTCTAGTGCGACGTTGTTGAGCAACAACAACGTACTAAAGCAAGAACAGTATGATACACTCCAGCATAGAAAGATGCTATATCGGGACTATTTGGTCATCTAAATAATTATGATTTTATTATTAATCTTATGGTGTGAAAGGCTCCAGGTCTCTCCCACAATTCAATCTCTAATTATTCAATCGGATAACCTTAAAAAAATATCAATTCCTTTTTTTTCCTTTGAGGATAAACTTCTTTGCAAGTGGAATTAATTTTAAAAAACAATATTTATTTTAATTTTTATTTACATCTACATGAAATTCAATAATAGCCTCATAATGTATAGATATTGATTTTTCTTAGGAATTTTACATACACTTTTATCTCATAGGGTGATTAATGTTGGCCAAAATTATAAAACTGCTATAGCTTCAAATGCAACATTCAATGACATTGTATACATCAGAAGTAGGACAAGACTACCAATTGTAGCTAAAGGAATTTTGTCAGGTGTGACATTTTTAAAATGTATTTTTTAACGTAAAAAAACATATCCTGATGCATATTTTTGTGAAAATAGGAAATCAGTTATACTTGGTATACTCTTTGAAAATAAAATCGGAGTTTCAAAGTTACGTAACTACCTCCTTCTCCCTTCCGTTGCCATGGTTTCGTCAAATTCTTCTTTTTCTACACGCAAATTTAGTCCAACTAACTAAAACATACTGGCGTGATGAAAAAGCAAGATTTGTGGAAACCATGGTAACAGGGGGGATGTAACCTTGAGACATCTATTCAATTTACAAATATAACTTCCGAAAATATGCTTGAAGAACAAGTACAGTGAGGCTTTGAGGAGAACTCCTCCAGACTGAAAGTCTGAGGCTGTCTGCTGCTATGGTAACAAGCGAGAGCACATTTATAATAGGGGTGAAATGGAGGAAAGAAAGTGTCGATTGGTTTTCTCACGACGACTTACGCTAAGATTAAGACAAAATTATTCACCCCACATCCCTATTCGAAGTGACCTTTCCTCGTAACCATAGTACCAGCCACGATGCGAGACGGGTGACTGGAGGAGTTCTCCTGAAAGGAGCACTATAGAAAGAACGGTTTTATGTCCATTATTTTTCAAAAATAGCGATAGGACCGCCATTTATTGCAGTAAATTTTGACAAATCAATAAAGTTAAAAATTGGTTCTCCTTGAAAGTTATTACACAGTGTTGGAGAAAAACGGCTCTTGTCTGTCTTAAAATTCCTTTTTTCACTCAAAGTCAGCTTTCATGGACGTAAACCGGTCTTCCCCCTTGATCTTCATTTTCCCTTTTTAAAATTTACCATCAAATAAAACAATTTTATTGGTTGCACTTAATTTACAGAAAGGGGGTTAATTAAGCAAATATAAACTTAGTTTTTCTTCGTGAAGATATTTTGATTCAAAGTAATGTAAATAAATTGCTATATTGAAGAGTATTTATTTAGTGTTTCGTTACATTTCTCTATCGTTTATGTGTTTTCTACGATTAAATACTATTTTGTGACCCCCTTAAGTGTATAACGTTTTATTTTTATTTTTTGAAAAAAATTCTAAAAATATATTTTGAGACATTCTTTATACTTTCTGTAAATGTCATAAACAACGCATGTAGTTGAAAGTATGAAAAACTATAGAATTAATTATGTTATAAATTGTTACATGCCTCTTTCATTCATTTACTGCTTCAACATTTTTATGCTGTAGCGAGTGATGCAATCAGAGCCATCCAGGCGGGTGCTTCTGCTATATTGGTGTCGAACCATGGAGGTAGACAGATGGATTATTCTCCTGCCACGGTGAGAAATAAGTACATTTGCTGAAATTGTATCTTGTAAATGATAATTTATTTATCAAAAATTGACACAAGTTTTAAGGGGGAACAACACAGTAGAAGCCTGTAAAAAAGAAGGATTTTTTAATGAATTATGCAACGATTGTGATAAACTTAATTTTATTCATTTTTTTTTAAATCTTATTCAGCTCATTTCAATCTTCATTTTATCAGTTACAAATGCAGAAATTGGAAAGAAAGAAGAAAACTATCGCTTATATAATAGAACGTGTATAACTTATTTTTTAAAATGTCTGTTACTTTCTGTAACTTAATGTTCTAGATTGCCGAATTTGCTACTGCCAGCATTTAAAACAATGTGACTATCCATTCATTTCATTAATGCTGCAGATTATGAAATAAAAAGGTTCATGATAATATAATGATAAGCCACAATTTTAAATTACTCGGAAAACTATTTTTTGAAAGGAAATAAAAGACTATAATTTCCCTGTAACTTGTAGTGTATCTACACTACAAAAATATAATTCCAATTCACTAGTATATAAGACATGTTAACTCAATTCTATGGTGGGGTACCTTTTCATAGGTTGTCATTGCCGATAACTACTATCCCCGCAATGGTGACCTTCAGACGTGATATGAACACGCCTTTCTTGACAGTAACGCCCACTTCGATTTGAACACGCCTACCTCGATGGATGGTCCACATTAAAAAGTTGACTTGCTACTTGTGATTGTGGCATTATCCACCTCCTCGCACTGTTATTACTCAGTCTCAATCACACACAATGTCAGCCTGCATACACTCGACTGCTAATCGCAACACAAGAGCAACCACAACTGTGAACTTAATACAGTTCTCCCGGCCTCTCACAAAACAGCAATGAATCAACTAATGGTATCCGGTCATCGAATTCTATCACAGATAAAATTCTGGTAGGGGAGTACTGTAGTGTATCTACCATTACAAAATTATAATTCCAATTCGCTAGTATATAAGACTTGATAACTCAATTCTACGGGGGGGGTACCTTTTCATAGATGAAGGTTTACATTGTCAATAACTACTCTCTCCACAAACTGATAAGTTTTTTCTCTATATTGTGCTGTTATCAAGTGGAAATTCTGGAAACAGTAAAAGTACCCATCTTGAAACAATACAAAAGAAAAAGTTCGACGTTAAAATATCCATTTAGATTACCTTTTAACTACATTTTCTTACGATACCCAATTTAGCATTGTTTTAAGTATGAAAATTATATCCAATGTAATTTAAAAAATCGTTAATTTAATAAATTTTTTTTACAGATTTTCTATATAGGTATACGATTTCCAAATTTTTAAAAGAATTTAATCGAGCAAAATGTGAATAATTAAGATAATAAACACCTGTATAATCAAAATGCATTGAATTAAGAGCATTTACTATCGAAATTAAACTTAATTAATTGTTATCAATTACTGTACTCCAAGCTAGATGCAATAAGAATTACAATAGCAATCCAAATTAGATGCAACAAAATTGCTTGCAAACTTACAAACCTTGTTCAATACTAAAGTTGTAGTAACAATTACAACTGTAAGTGTTATAGCAATAAATCGTTATTGAAAGATTTATAGAATTTAAAACTTTAACTAAAAATGAAGATATATATAAAATTAAGCATAGGAAAAACAGTATCTTCAGAAAATATTACTAAAACATGGCTTTGGATAAATTTTTAAGTTTGACCGCGTATTCAACATAGATAATAAATTAAAAATTAATGCACACAGTTTTTATTATTTAACCATACACCTAGTTATAGTAAGTTTAATTAGTTTGCTTTTCTACACATTTGCCTTTTCTACACTTAATAAAAATTCTTTTTATTTTGATATGCAATACTTGAATCATTGTCCTTTGACCTTTTTTTTTCAGATAGATGCTTTACCATTCATTGTAGACACAGTAAAAGAATATTACCCTCATATTGAAATCTACGTAGATGGAGGCATACGAAATGGTTATGATATTTATAAAGCTCTTGCAAGAGGTGCAAAAATGGTTTTTCTGGGACGACCTTCCATATGGGGCATAGCATTTAATGTATGAATATCATTTTAGTCAATATAAATGTCTACTGCTTTCATTATAGGGTGTATGAGAAAAAAAAAAAGGAAAATTCAAAATAGTAAGACATAAAAAAAAAATTGCGATGATCGCATAGTTAATAAGACTTAGCTTGATTGAGAAATGTTAAAGAATTGGCCTCAAGTGTTTTTTTTTTCCTTTCTTTTCTGTAGATAAAAAAATATGTTTCAATTTTTTGAAATTTAAATTTAACATAGTTAGGCTTAAAAATGTAAAGTTTAGAATGTAAAGAAGCAACAAAAAATCATGTAGAAAATGTAACTGTTAAGTCTCTCAGAATCTACATGAAAACGTAACAAGATTAGGCTGAAAATTGAACTATTCTTATCCGTATGGATAGTGTTTTCAACATTAGGGAACGCTGCAATCTCCATACCGCCTATACTTCCAGGTTACTGTTTCCAGTGTATTTGAAAGCCATTTTGCCCAAAACGTGATCATTGTGTTTTGAGATTCTTGCAAACGTGGTATTTGATTACTTATTGCTTGTGTTTACAATGCTAACACTACTTGTGTTAACAATACTAAAAATGCTGACACTAACGAAAGATGGTGCACAGCTTGCAACAAGAACAAATAGTAATAAACAAGTGGAAAGAGACCAAATAAGGTTTGCCAAAAAAGCGAGTTATTCAAAATCTAGCAACCATGTCACCTTTTTTAACAATATATCTATAACTAACTAAAACAAATTTTCACTTCAAACTCACCAGAATTACTTAATAACATTAATATCTTATGAAATACGGCGGATTTGAGCTCAGAAATTATCTAATTAACTTCTTCTATTGAAAACAAAATTATCCGTCTGAAAATATCGCCTAGCAGAATAAGCTGTAGTAAGCAGTTGCAAACTTTCTAGCCGGAACTAGAGCAGGTATAGAGCTCCAGATTGTTATTGTTTACATTTACAGGGTGTCCCAAAAGGTCGTTTANATCCTAATCGCTGGATCGGTAGAGGCGGACCAGTCCCATGGCCGCCGCGATCCCTCTACCTGACTCCCCTGGATTTCTACCTGTGGGGACACATGAAGTCCATAGTGTACGAGACACCTGTAACATCGGACATGGATCTTATCGCCAGGATCGCGGAAGCGGCAGCACGTGTCCGTGACACTCCTGGCCAATTTGAACGGGTTCGTGAATCCACGCGCCGAGGCTGTGAAACGCGCATTGTGGCGAATGGAAGGAATTCTGAGCATTTGCTGTGATGTAATGTTATATAATAAAAATCCTATTAACACCGCTATTGATATCATTTGTTTTCTCCTCATCCAAACCTGCACTTATCGCCCTCTAGCGGTCTTAGTTTTAATTTTCGGACACAAGTTCCTATGTAAATCTTGTTCATCATGATATGACAGACCAGCATGTTAAGTTTGTAAACGACCTTTTGGGACACCCTGTATATTGAAAATACCATCCATATATTAGTTATAGAAAGTAAAGATTTTCAACTAGATTCCTGGAGGTCTAAGGGGGGTTCGAAAATAAGTTTCATCAGGTGTACAAATTCACACAGAGTCGTATAGACAGAAAGACTAAATATCTAATAAGACATTGAAGATAAGGAGTAATTTTATTTTTCCACGTAATACACAACGCGAATGTGGGAGAGGCTCTTAACCGTTTCGTCTTAAATATTTGTTTGCCTCATAAAAGGCCTTTTAAGGCCTTCTGTCAATATTTTTCTTCAAAGCAGAAAGCAGATATAGTTTGTCTAAGCTAAGAACTCCTCCCACCACAAGGTCTGAGGCTATGGAAACAAGAATGGCGCATTTTAGGGAGGGTAGCTTCCCTCTAGGAATAACGCAATAGACCGAGGAAACAGATTCCCTATCTCTCGCTGACCCGGGCCGAAACCACTCCAAACCAGTGACACCGCACCCCTTCTTGAAATAGTCATACCTCGTTACCATAGACACTGCCACAGGTCTAGACGAATGTCTGGGGGAGTTCCTATTTTAAACAAACAGAAATCACTGGCTGCGAGAACAGCACTGTATGAGGATGGTCAACGTGATCTCGCACTGCCATCCATCTCACGTGTCGATGGTAAAGGGTTGGCTTTTCAAGTTTGACGAAATTAATTTGATTGACTCGAAAATATTTTGGAAAGATTGATTTCTTATTTTCGATTTAAATTACATCTTTGAAATTAGATATTGTCCCTTTGCAAAGAGTGAGCGCTTTTACCCTTATTGTGGACTTAAATTATCGCCTTGAATATTCAATGTTTATAATTGATAGCGGCAATTTAATTTTTTTTTTTCATTTTAGGGTTCAAGTGGCGTCAATCAAGTAATGGATATTATAACAAGTGAATTTCAGGAAGTTATGACTTTGTCAGGTGACACATTTCTCCTTCATTCATTATGATAGCGAATATCAGATGATTTTTTAGTCTTAAGTTTAATTAAGTTTAAGGCTAATAATCTCGCGAATAATTTCCTACAAATATTATACGATATTAATATGAAACAGTGAAGAAACACAAATATTTTGAAGCACATTCTCTTTCATTTCCTTTCTCTAATAAATAATCATTCAAATTTATTTTTAATTATTGTTTCCCCAAAACCCAGGTAATAGTTTTTAATAGCTTTGACTTCAAATGTCTAACTTATTTTAAAGTCAATTTTCTTATAAGCTATTATTATATTTATAAACGATTTTCAATCAACGCATTTCAAATTTTATTTATTTATTTAGTTTATTACTATTAGTGACTTAAGTTAAAGTTATAGTCTACACTCTTGATTATATTTCTCATTAACATTAATAAATATTGCTTAACCTACAACTGAATAAAGTTTAAATTTCTTTAAATATATATAGAAAATTATACTTGCAGTTTTATTAAACCACTAAGGAGAATCTGAACCGAAACTTCTACGTAATATTCTTATACAATTGCTTTCTTTATCCCAAAACACAAAGTGTCAAATTATAAATAATATTGTTGCATCGTAAGAATGCTAACAAAATGTCAAATCCCTTTTGCAGTGAAATTAAATTTAAAAAATATAAAAATATGATAATGTTCCTGTGTCAAGTAAAAACTATTCTTATGATATTTAAAGTCAAAACAAAAAAATAACTATACTTCCTTAAACATTTTTTTTTCCTTTGGTCAAAATCGGGCAAATCAAACTTAGGTTGGCTTTTCAAAATCGCCTCTTCCGACTTAGTTACCTGATTTTGACGAACTTTTCTCCGATGTTCTTATATAGTTAAACAATAGTAAAAGTTCTCATCTACGGATTTTCATAGTTGGAAAATTATTTATAATATTAATATTTTAGAAAACATGTTCTTTGTTATTATGTATTATTATTATGATTTTTGCAGGTCACACTGATCCTAATCAAATTACCAGAGACAGTTTATTGCCTCAGTTACCAACATTCTAGTGCCAAAATCAGGCGCCAGTATTGACAATTCCTAAATAAATAAATTATTCTTTAATTTTAAATCAATAAACTTTCACTAAAATTGTTGCATTTGACTTTATTTCATGTATAGAATACTTTATTTTGTTAGGCTTTGCAAATTTCTCCCTTGGGTTTTGTAGATTTCAGCAGCTGAACTGCTGCGTAGACGTAAAAAATGAACGTCTCGTGGGGAATCGTTAAAAGACATAAAAAATAGAAGCATAATTGTCACCATAGGGGATCGCAAACACAAAAGGTTATTCGATTTTTATCTAATATACTTGGAACACTAACATTATGTACGGGTACAATCATTGCGCTAGATGGTTTAAGTCAAGTTTTAACTGAATCAAATTATAGGATTCAGTTGAAACTTAGCTATTAAATGCAGGGCATGTTAAAGAAAAATTTCATTGACCATGAGCACTTTTGTTGTTAATCATTTTTCAGTGACAATATCAAAATGCAGCATTTATGAGATTACTCTGCGTTTATGGGAAGCCGCTAAAATAAGAATCACAAGACCACCCTATTCATCTGATATTAATCTTGTGGCTCACTTTTGTGAGAAGATATTAGGAAGATTTTCGCACTTTTAGGTTAACTTTTGTGCGCTTCCGTACGTAAGATTTGAAATAACTGCACATGTGTTTATTTCAGATGCTAAGTTTTTTTACCTTATCTTGACGTGGTTAACTTTGCAAAAACAAAGCTAAAGGCACGCTGTTCATAGCTTTTAAATGCTGTCTTTTTGCTGAAGCCTACCTTCGAACTAAGGACATGGACATGGAATTCAAATTTGAAGAAGTGTAATGAAGAAATTTATAAATGAATTGTGCGATATTACAACAGTTGGTTGATTTAAAAAAAATAATAATAATTTTATGGGTTTTTGTTTAGAATAGTATGGTTGTCTAATTGCACCAAGTCCGTAAGAAACTTGATGTATTTTCGTTATTTTAAAATTATAAATTATACTTATATTTTAAATTACAAAATTTAGTTGGACGAAGTTTAATTTCCATAATATATTTTTCGGTTATAAATACGAAGTTTGTTTGATTTTATTTAAAAGATTAGATATGCTCTATTTTCCCCTTTAAATTGCTTGAAGCAAGAAACCTTACTCTGGTACAAAAGTGTCAATACCTATAGCGTTTGAATTACTATTATTAAAACTAATTTGGTATTTATTTTAACTTCTAATAGTTATGGACTTGGTTGTGCACAAAAAAATTTAATATTTGCAATATGGGATCGTCGTTATCAGAATGAAAGAGTGGTTTATTTGGATCAAAAAGCATACTACACTGCAATTTATAGCTTCAAACTGTGTATAAGTATTAGCAAAAAGATTTTTTTTCTCCAATGCCCACCTGAAGAATGACCAAGGTAATACAGGTATCTGAAGGGCAGATTACTGTATGGGCCACTCTTTCAGGGGCTCCATATTAGGCAGGCCAACGTTCCTCTCGCTGTAAGGACAGATAGTACAGAGAAGGAAAGAACATCCATGCCTTGCCCGGGATTCGAACCCAGAACCTTTCTGATGCAAGGGTTAGCAAGAAGATGAAATATTTTACTCTCTATTATTTTGACTAGTGATAAAAACAATCCCATTTAAAGAATCTCTCTCTCTCTTTCACTCTCTCTCCCTCTCGCTCTCTCTCTTTTTCCCTCTCCCTCTCTCTCTCTCTCATTTTGAATGTATAGCTCTTTAAACATAGCAATGTTAATAATTGCTGTACATATTTAGAGAGTTTTTTAAAATATGCAAGGAGAACATGTTTCAAAAATATATGCCCTCCAGCTGAAAAAATGATCTAGGCACCTTAAGGGGACTTACTTTTGTGGCTACGGTTAGCATCGCCCAGACGGCTACGGTTACCATAGCTATAAAGAAATTTCATTATTCTAATCTTTAAATATCAATTTGCCACAAGTAATTAATATTTTTTTTCCATCAAAACACCTAAACACTACATCCCTTATCATCTCGTTAGGACAGTGTTTCCAAACCACTATTATAATTCTTAGTAGTCTATGTGTTCTTCTAAAAATTTAATCCGCTAGTTTTCATCTTTTGCATCATTCTGCATAATTAGGGTGAGGAATCTGAGCACTTTTTTCATTGTTAATGAATGATGAGCACTATTTTACAATTAGTTTAAAATATTCTTATTATTTTTTTAAATATCACGTGACTTTGAAAATTTGTTTCAGATTTCACGCGTAGAAGAATACTCTGAATAAATATTAAATGGAAAATAGGAAATTCCATCTAAATGCTGATGCCATTTGTTAAATGCACAATGATTAAAATTTATTACAAAGAAAAAAAGAAGACATTACACACATAATGATATCAAGTGTTTATTTCTATTAAAAATTTAAAAGAAAAATTAGTTTGACAGATATTCAGCTAACGTCCGAGGATCAATTGAAGAGTAAAGGGTGGTTTGATTTTCATATAGACATGAATATCAGTTGGATAATAAAGTAGCACAGGTGTAGTACGTAGATAATATAAAAATAGTAATAATAGTCATTGGAACTCCTTTACCATAAATGAAACCCGCATTAAGCTAAATTATTTAGAAAGAATAATTTTCTACTAAAATCAAACAATCTGTTTGAGTATGTCAATCTCCAAAGAAAAATAGCCAAACTTTCAACTCCTACAAACAAAATATAATTTTATTTATGCTCATTTACTTAAATTTTAACATGCTGAAATTTATTAATATTAAATCATGTTAATAGTATTTAATATAAATATTATTCATTAACATTTGAATTATATTGATATTATAATTCAAATATTAATAAATGCTTATATTAGGTACTAATATATATGCAATATATAGCGAAATACTGTAAATTATGCTTAATTGTGAACCTAATGCAGAAATTAAATTTCTGAAATCTTCGGCGACAATTCTAAATAATAAGCTACATTCTTTTCGTGATCGGAACTTTCGAATACGCAATCTGGGGAGAAGACCTGTTTCATGTTTTAACCCTTCTCCTCCTCTTTTCAGTTGTATAGAAATGTACTGTGATATTTTCCAATTTCTTAATTTTTTCCGTAATTAAATATCACAAATATTTTTGAAGAACATCCACAAAGATTTCTTTTAGAAGTATGTTTAATGCAGTTTCCAGTTCCATATAGTTTCCTAACCTAAAAGTTTTTAATCTATTTGAAAATCACCGCAGAAACTAATGTACTTCCTTCATCTATGATTCTCTGCATGCTAAGATTGAAAGCAGGAGAAAACTTGCCATAGGTAGAGGGGTCTGCTCTACGTCACCTGTAGCTCATTTCGATTATAAATTTTGTTTTGGTTTTGTGATTAAATTTAAAACTATATTCCACTACATTAGCGTTCTAAAATGGTGGAGTTTTGCAAAACTTTTTATTTTCATTTGCGTAAGTTTGATATTTTTTCGCGAGTGTATGCGTATTTCATCAGTTTTAACGCATGTGCGCTTGAAGTATGCATTCGTAAATACTTCAAATTTTGCGCATCGGAGTCATACGGATGTTAACTTAAATTTTCGAAATATACCTGTTTAGAAGTATTTTAGAAGACAGACTGGATTTCTTCTTTTATTCCACAATAAGAAAACAATCGNTAAAAGGATAAAGATTAAGAAACAATATTTTGTGACCTACTGATTTTTGATATAGTGATATGAAACATTAAGTGCTTAGATTAATTAATTCTGATTCGAATTGATTGAAATCAATTTGGATTGATTTCGATTGATTGTTAAATATAGCATTTTAAGTACTTGGTCTAGTTTTTTTTGCCCATTTTATTTATTTATTTGGCACTCTGCATTTCGTTAGAAATGCAGAGTGCCAAATGCCATTTCCCTTTAATGTTCGTGATACATTTTAAATTTTTGTTATCTGACAAGAGTCTAGCTCTTATTTCTAAAATGACCCTCTAATCTAGAAATACAGCAACATACTGCAGAGGTTGAAAGGGCTTTTCAGCAATAAACTTACAAAAAAACACATTACGTACTGGTCTTTAAACAAGAAGCGTTAAGCGCAATTATGAGCATCTACCTAAATGGAAAACCTCTATCAGATTTCAGTGCAGAAACCTCTATAAATCATAGACTTGATTGTGGAACTGTCAAACGTCATATTTTATTCATTTAAAAAAACGCAGCACCCTCGGATAAATTGACATTCCAGATAACTTAACCTTTGTCATTTAAATTATTTCATAAAAGAAATAAATTATTTCACAAAAGAAATACTATGTCACTATTAGTAACCTAGTATTTCNGTGTTAACACTTTTAGTATTGTAAACACAAGTATTGTTAGCATTGTAAACATGAGTAATAAGTAATACATTTTTATTTATTTAGAAGCTACGGGTTAGTTTCAAAGGAGGACGGGTACAATGTTGGACATGCCGTCCTCGAGGACGGGTAAAATTTCTGAGTTTTTTCGAGCCCTGGTCATAGTAGAAGAAAGTACTTTAGTTTCTGTTTTTATTTTCGAATTAGATTAAAAACTTTTTAGTTAGGAAACTATATGGAACTGAAAACTACATTGATCATAGATCGGAAAGAAAACGTCGTGGGAATTTCAAAAAATATTTTTGACAAGTAAAAGCTTAAAATATAATTTATTTATTTCAAATGGCAGAAGTGAACTGACATGTTAAAAAGCAAAAACACAGGAACAAAACAAAAAAGTAAAAAGTCATTTTCTCAGGAGCGCACTTGCTTCCCAATATCGCTCGGTAGACGACGACCCGCGGAGGGCCCTGCAGAACAAGATGTGGCTGCCATCGAAGACAGCTTGGCTCTTGCACAGAGAACAATATGGATTAGGTGCCAGCCCTAAACGAAGCAGGTGTGCGGCTAGGTAATCATGTCCGGTATATAGTCGAGACTGAGCCACCGCTTCGCGGCGTGGCCAGTCTGGAATGGTGTTCTGTTGAATATCTCTCCACACTTTGGTTTTTACCCTTTCTGATAATTGGTGATGGAAATCCCCATTGATTTTTGATATAACAATCCTTTTTAAAGTTGAAAAGGGGACTGGGCTACTAAGAGCCTTGAGAATTCTTGTGCTTCTCTTTAAAATACGTAATATATTAAGAAATTGGAAAATATCGTGTGTCAGTGGGTGACTAATCCCCTCACTGTCTAGCGGCAGCTAGACTTTATGAATGAGTCTATACACTCTCAAAAAATCCAGGGCAAGCAAAGGGGCCGTCGCGAAAGTCTCCTTAGAAATGTGAAGACAAGCCAGAAATTGCTCTGGGGACGCACTCTCCACTCAGCACAAACTGGGAAAACCCTGTTGTCATTGCAAAAGTAGCCACTCGATCCTCAGGTGGCCGCTGGCAAATCTCGACAGCACTGTCTGGTAGGCTCTATCGCAGTTTTCCTGCGATAGAGCCGACCAGACGGCGCTGTCGAGATTTGTGATGGAGCCCCAATACCAATGGAGCCCCCAGGACATCTCCGCCAATACCGATCATGGGATGGAGGGACCATAGAGTTGAAATAGTAGGTAGAGGAACCAAGTTTGCTTTACTCCTTCCGAAAAGACGCGCCATAGATAGCNAAAGACACGCCACAGATAGCAAGCAAAGAGTTACAATCACGTGATGGAAAGAGTGCAATACTTGGCGCAGTATCACAAATGTTGGCGCACTAAGTTTTTAAACAGCTTTATTTCGATATTACCGATGCGCAAATAATCGGAGCATTTGAAAGAGAGAAAAAAAATATTTTCGTTAATCACATTTCTTTAATATTATTAAATGGGTTTTTAAAACATAAGGAGCTTTTTTTTTTAACAAATAATTTTTAATTAAAGTACTGCCTTTATTAAAAAAAATTAAGTAGTTCTCGTCTTTACCCTTAACACTATTCCTTAAAAACTTATTCATTATATAAAAATAAAAAACGATATTTTGCACCACTTATATTTATTAATTCAGAAAAAAAAAAATTGTAAATGTTTTTATTGCAAAGACCTATTTAATAAAAAAATTTAACAACATATATTGTAATAACTATTATTACATTTAACTATTGTTATTTTTTTTTAAAAAAAATAATAACTTCGATACAAAAATCACGATTTTTTAACGCTTACCAGGGCTTAAAATGTGAATTTGAAAATGTTGCCTTTCTTCTTTAATGAAACATAAGTTCATTTAAAAAATAAATTTTATCTTTACGTTTTAAAAGTTTTATCACTGTTAGATAAAGCAAATTGTAAAATTAAACAGATTGTCTGAAAAAAGTTCGATGCTTAGAAATAACGTTAATGTTGCAACACTTTTATCATTTTTATTTATGCTCACCAAGAGACTGCTCGAGAGGTAATATTAAATTTCGGGAAAAATAGCTTCGAGGAAAATAAAACCCGTTTTTAGTAGAACAGATTAGTTAGAAAACATATTTTTGATTAAATTTAATAA